GATCATGGAACAATATCAAGAAATTCCAGAATGGTCCAAAAGAGAAAGAACATTTTTAAAACAAGAAATTAGGAATGGATTTAGGTTACAAATCAGAATTCTCAACAAAAAATTTTAAAAAACACAACCAGCAGAATAGGAAAAACTGGATATGTGGAGAATCTCTCTAAAGAAAGAGGCTCAAAGAGAAAGAAAAACAGATTTGAAACACAAAAATACTTAATAGGAGGAAAACTAGCAGAAGAGAAGGTCCAATAATATTAGAAGAACACAAGAACCTGACATTAGCCAAAGTAACTGCCCTGTTACCTTTCTTTTTAAAAACTGTAGAGGCAGCTAGGTAGCGCAGTGGATAGAGCACCAGCCCTGGAGTCAGGAGGACCTGAGTTCAAATCTAGCCTCAGACCAAACACTTGACACTTACTAGCTGTGTGACCCTAGGCAAGTCACTTAACCCCAATTGCCTAAAAAAATTTTAAAAAATGTATCATTTATTTTTAACACTCTTTTTTAAAATTTTGAATTCCAAATTCTCCCCCTTCCTCTAGTCAACTGCCCTGTTTTCAAACAGGATATGCAGAGACAACTTAAGAATCATAGGCATCCCAGAAAGAAAAATAAAAAGAGCTGAATATCATTTTGCAGGATATAATAGAAAAAGTTCTGTCCAGAACTTCTGAATAGAGATAACAAGTATTAGTTGGTCAGGGGCAGCTAGGTGGCGCAGTGGATAGAGCACCAGCTCTGGAATCAGGAGGTCCTGAGTTCAAATCTGGCCTCAAGACACATGATACGCACTAGCTGTGTGACCCTGGGCAAGTCACTTAACCCCGACTGCTTCGCAAAAAAAAAAAAAAAAAGTATTAGTTGCTTAAATGCAAAGATGGATGGGGATAGGGGAGTGGGGTTTGGGAGGGGAAACTCCTATTTCCAATTTTAGGGCACATAATGGTTATGTTTCACAGTTTCAATAATGAATACACTATTCAAGCAGCCAGAAGAAAGATCTGGAAATATGAAGGAAAGGCCTTTTGGAGAATCCAGGATCATTCTGTTTAGAAGAGAAATTTGAGAACAGAATAATAGCAGATTATAAAAAAGGCCTCAAGTCACAACCCAAATGAATAGACCTTATTTCAGGCATTCCTGCAAAGCAGCAGCACCACCGTCCTGAGGGGAGTGATGAGCTAACCTGCCAACACTCTAGACAAAAGAAACACAAGGAGGTAAATAAATACAGATAATTATCATGAAAAGGCTAAGTACTGAAATCATTCCAGTCATTGACAAGCTTTTGCTTAAGGAAAAAAAAAAGCTGTATGGGGTAAAAGAATGAACAAAGCCAAATCACAAGGGCACCCCAAAATAGACCCAAGGGGCTCCACACTGATTAAGGGGAACTTAAAAAATCAGAAGAGAAGGAAGAAAAGTTGAAATGATAATACTCCATAGACAAAATCCTCGAACCCTCTCAATACCTTTTATGGGAGAGAATAACTAAGTGAGAAGTTGGTGGAATGAAGAAAGAGGAGATGAGTAACATGGGGGAACATGAGTGACAGGGGGAACTGGTGATACACCCCGACCAAATGCAGAGATCACCAGCTAAGAATTTCCTCCAGTCCTTTGCCAGGAGCAGAGGCTGTGGGAGAACAGGAGCTATGGAAGGGCAGGGCAGGCCAGAGGAAAGGGATCCAGGGTAATTAAGACTAGGGAGGCAGGGGAGGTGTTGAGACAGAAATCTTATAATGGGTTCCATCTGGGAGAAATGTGTACATTAGAAGATGAACTTCTCTGAGGAGGGATTGTATCCATCCCTGGAGAGCATTCCACTCCGAGAGCGGGAATGTGTGAGTGCCTAAAGGATGGCCAACGCCAAGCAGAAACAGAGAGGAGAACATGACCTTGGCGGGGAAGACCCATGTGGGCTTGGGAGGGTCAGGACTGTGTCTAACAATGAGACGCCATGTAACTGTCACCATACAACACGACTTCCATGTGCTACGCCCTCCTTTGTGAACTCTTATTTCAAAGATTCCTTCCTCTATCTCGTTTTCTCTGTTGCCAAGGACCATCCATTCTACCTTGGTAACATCTCTTGCATTTGTCCTCTCCTCTCCTCTGATACCATCCCCACCCTGGTGCAGGCCCTCATCACCTCACATCCAGACTAGGGCAATAGCTGTTGATAGATCTGCCTGCCTCAGTCTCCCCCCCATCTCAGACCATCCTCCACTCAGCGGCCAAAGTAATATTAAAGCCTAGGCCTCTGCTCAATGAAGTCCAGTGGTTCCCTATCACCTCCAGGATCAAGAATAAAATCCTCTGCTTGATGTTCAAAGCCCTTCCTAAGGTACACCCCCCCCTTCCAGTCTTTTTATACCTTCTTCCCTCCCTTTACTCTGGGGTCTAGTGACAGTGGCCTCCTGGCTGGTCCCCCAAGATATTTCTTCCTACTTCATGCATTTTCCCAGCTGGGGATGATGCCAGGAATGCTCCCCCTCCTCAACTCTGCCTCCTGGCTGCCTTCAAGACCAGCCTAAAATCCCACCTTCTATAGGAAGCTTTTCCCCACCCCCCCCTTAATTCTAGCGCCTTCTCTCTTTTTGACTTTATGCCGTGAACAGCTTGTTTGCACAAAGCTGCCTGCATGCAGTGGCATGAGGGCATGGACTGTCTTTCTCCTTCTCTGTATTCTTAGGACTTAGCAAAATGTCTGGCACATAGTAGGCACTTAATGTTTACTAGCTGACTGATTGGGTGACCATCTGCAAAAGGCTACAGTCCTGCTGCTTCTTCCCAGCCCTACGTTCATTTCCTCAGTGTCTCTTTCTTGTGCTAAAGGCTTAAGACACACTTGCTGCCTGATTGAGCTAACGCTGCTTCCTTTACTCCTCAGTGAGCCACTGTGTCTCTGGCACTGCAGGGTTCGGGCTCCCTCCCTATGCCCTCTATACCTGCCTATCACAAACACCTTCTGGACCTTGTCCTGCCCACCAACTAACAGGTGAGTTGCCCCTTTCTGGGATGAAAAGCCTTAGATGGGCATCAGAAATGGCTCTCCTAGGTCCGTGATCATAGGACTCATCCATCTCACAGACCTACAGAGTTCAATTCCATTGCACTCACATTTATCATGCACCTACCATGGGCATGGTATTGCTTTAGGCAAAGCACTCTCTGTATAAATGACACCTCAGGTATGTTTCAGCTTTGCATACATGAACTCATTTTTCAACTTAATTCAATCCAACAAGCAATTACTAAGTGCTTACTATATGTCAGGCACTGTGTGCTAGGCATATGAAAACAAAAATGAAAGGGACTCTGGTCTCAGGGAGCTTATATTTTACTGAGTAGAATGTCCCAGGAATACCCAACACAGGGTATAAATCTTGTAATACCAAATAAGGTCAAGAGAGTGAGAGTGAGAACATTTGGGAGAATCAGAAAAAGTCACTTGTAGCAGGCAGTGCCTGAGCTGGGCTTGGAAGGAATCTGGGGATCCTAGGAGGTGAGATGGGGGAGCCCTGGTGGCCTGAGGGACAGTGTGGGCACAATCTGCCCACCCACTCACCCTGGGAAGGCACCTCTGCTATGAACAGGGGCACCATCTGTAAGGAGAGTGGCAGAGGCCCCCAGATAGCCAGCTCCTGGGTGTAACAGCAGAGAAGCTGGGTCAGAAAGCTCCAGCCTTTCTGAGACAAGCAAAAACTTTAATGCAAGGAGGCTACAGCTCCCGTGGTGAAGGCCATGTTTGTTATCCCAACGTTTGGACTGGGTGCTTGACCTCTAAGGAGTTTGACCACAATCGGGGATATACTGGGCCTGGGCCTGGGCTATGGGTATTGGGAATGTTTACTATTAAGGAATTTTCCCAATTTTACCCTGCTTTTCTACTTTAAGGAAATGGTTCATTTTCATAGCCACTATGTGGTTATCATGTAATTGACAGTAAAATGGTTTGGTCTCTTGAGTAAGAAACTCAGAGAGACTGGGAGATTGTGCACATTCATTTGGGTGCCCTGAGCCTGCATGAGCCTGTAAAAGCTTAGGAGCAGCTAAGGGCACTCCACTGGGGAAGCAGAGGGGTTTGACAAGCCCATCTATTTAGGTCCAAAGAATACCTTAATGCCACAGCACACGAAAATGAGGCCCTTCCAAACAGAAGAGGCCCCAGGTCTCACAACTAACAAGCACCAAACTCCAGATCTATTATTGAGGGCTGGTGGCCAGAAGTGGCATCACAATATGGGGTATGAGGATAGCATTGTAAACAGGACAGAGAACGGACCAACTTGTGGTTTCACTGGTTTAAGGAACTTCTGGGTGAGGAAACTCCTCTCCTGATGCAAGTCAGCACCTTCTCAGCAATGTGTAGTATTAAGGAGTGGCCTGGAGAACAGGGGGAGGGGCAGTGATTTGCTCAGGGGCCATCAGTCAATGCAGAGGAGGTGGCTAAGCCCAAGTCAGCTTGCTAGCCACTATATCTTGCTATTTCTAGTAGAAGACAATTTTAATTCCAATTCAATTCAACTCAATTCAATTCAATTCAATGTTAGCTTGACTTTTAAAGAAGGAAACACCATCTGGAGTGCACTCAATTTGTGGTAAGATGACCTGGGTGTAAATTCTGGCTCATCCATCTTTGTGACCTTGGTCAAGCCACTCTCGCTGTCTTGCAATCACCAGCTAGCCCCAAATCCGCGATCCCAGGGGCTCCACCTAATATCCTCCACTAGAATCTGACTCCAATGTCTCATCCAAGTGAGGTAGGGACTTGGGGGCTAAAAAGCTATGCCACCCAATGGCAAGAAGAAAAGGTCCTACAGCAAGGTAGAAAGGTTTCGAGTTAGGGAAGGCAACAGACTGTGTGTCTGTCTGTGTGTGTGTGTGTGTGTGTCCCTGCCCATAGGGCACAGCTTAGCTCCCTATGTTTAAGAAGCAGGGGTTGATTTTGAGACCTAGCATGAGAAGTGCGCGAGGGGCAAAATCCTTACCAAGTGAGACCACATTCCCATAATTCTCCAGCATCACATCTTTGTAGAGGGCTCTCTGAGAAGGGTCCAGGTGGCCCCATTCCTCCTTCGAGAGATACACCGCCACATCGTTGAACGTCACCAGTTCCTAGAATAACAGATGCCTGCTGATCCAAAGCCAATTCCACAACTTTACCTTAGGATGAGGACAGAGCCTGCAGATGTCAGAGAGCAGAGGAAGGGGCCTCCAGCAGTGAGAAACTCTGACAATGGTGGCTAGTGGGCAGGAGAGACAGTGAGAGAGAAGCCTCCCCGTGTCCTAGAAAGAGGCAGTGCTGTCCCCAGCCCTGGCAGGAGTCAGGAGGCTGTCTTCTAGGCTAGCCTCTGCCATGAACTTGATGTGTAAACTGAGGCAAGTCATTTAACCTCAAGGGGCCAGCCTCAGTTAATCAGAGGGAAGAGCAATGAAAAAAATCTGACGTTAAAAATCACAATAGGAGTGGAAAGAAAAATGACTTGGATTGTCTATCCAGATTTGCCATCAATGAACTCTCTGCTCTTGTTTCCTCCCTATAAAATGAGGGTGGAAAGGGGCAGCTAGATGGCGCAGTGCATAGAGCACTGGCCCTGAAGTCAGGAGGACCTGGGTTCAAATCCGGCCTCAGACCAAACACTTGACACTTAGTTGCTGTGTGACCCTGGGCAAGTCACTTAACTCCAATTGCCTAAATAAATAAATAAATAAATAAATAAAATGAGGGTGGAGGAGGGGAGAAGATAATAACAGGTAATCTTTTGATAGTGATTTAGATACATTACAGCATCTGGGCCTTATAATAACCATGTACAGGAAGGACTGTGAACTTCATTTTACAGATGAAGAAATGGGATCAGGTGAAGGAAGAAACTTGTCCAAGGATACACAGCTGTCTCCAAGCTTGGCACATTTCCCCTATGACCAGGCTGCCTTTACAGAACAGCCCACCCAATGTCTCTTGAGTCACATGTGAGTAGGCTATTGCCATGGAAGCAAAGGCACCAGGCAGTGAACAGGACAGGCATCGGCAATGGAAAGTGCCAGAAAGAGGAGCTCGGTGATGGTTTTCTAGTAAAGGAACTGATTCAAATGTAAAGGACTGAGAGCCATTCTCCAACAGATAAGCGGTCAGAGGTTATGAGGTGATATTTATTAAAGGAAGAAATTCAAGCTATGAGTAGTCACACAAAAAAATATTCTAAATCACTAATAATTAGAGAAATGCAAATTAAAGCAACTCTGAGGTTTCACCTCACTTCCATCAAATTGGCTAACATGACAGAAAAGGAAAATGACAAATGTTGAAGGGGATGTGGCAAAGAAGGCATGCTCATGCACTGTTGGTGAAGTTGGGAATTAGATTAACCATTCTGGAGAGCAATTTGGAACTATGTCCAAAGGGCTAAAAAATTGTGCATACCCTTTGATCTAGCAAGACCACTACTAGGTCTGTATTCCAAAGAGATCCATGGACCTATAAGTACAAAAATATTTATAACAGCTCTTTTTGTAGTGGCACAGAATTAAAAACTGAGGGGATGTTCATCAACCGGGGAATGGCTGAACAAGTTGTGGTATATGATTATGATGGAATACTACTGTGCTATAAGAAATGATGATCAGAATGGTTTTAGAGAAACCTGGGAAGACTTACATGAACTGATGCAAAGTGAAGTGAGCAGAACCAGGAGGACAATTTACACAGTAGCAATAATGTTGTGAAAAGGAACAATTTTGAAAAGAAATTAGAGCTCTGATCAATGCAATGGCCAACCTTGATTGCAGAGGCCTGATTAAGAAGCCAGCTGGCCATCTCTTGAGACAGCGAGACAAGGAGTACGTATACAGAATGGGATATGGCCAAAGCAGGAATTTGTTTTCCTTGACTATGCCATTTGTTGCAATGGTTGGTTTTATTTTTTTATTTTTAATGGTGGTGGGAGGGAGGAAGAGAAAATAAATGCTTGTTAAGGGAGGGCAGAGGAGGAAGGAAGGAGAGAGAGAGAGAGAAAGAAAGGAAGACAAAGAAAGAGAGGGAAAGAGAGATGGGAGACAGGGAGAAAGACACAGGGGGAGGGAAAGAGACAAAGAGTAAGAGGAGACAGGGGGAGGGGTGGATGGAGACACAGGGCAGGGAGGGAGAGAAAGAGAAGGAATGGACAAAGAATACTGAGGTAACCTTAGATGCCTCTGCAGTCCAGTGAAACTTACAGACTCCTCAGAATGTTTTTTAAATGTATAAAATTTTAAAAAAATAGGATTATAAAGAAAATCAAGTAATTTGAAATATAGTTATCTAAATATATTTTTTAAAAAAAGTTCACAGACTCCAGGTTAAGAACCCCTATCTTCAAGTGATTGAAAAGATGGGTTAAAATTTTATGGGCCAAATGTCATTCATCAAAATATAAATAACTGGGACTGCTAGGTGGTGCAGTGGATAGAGCACTGGCCCTGGATTCAGAAGGACCTGAGTTCAAATTTGGCCTCAGACACATAATACTTACTAGCTGTGTGACCCTGGGCAAGTCACTTAACCCCACTGCCTAGCTCCCCCCCAAAATATATACATATACAAATAATTGCAAAGCAAGTACAACTAGTTATACTGATGCTTAATATAACTTATAATAACTAGTTTTTTAAAAGAAAAAGAGAAATTGAGGGGGAAGATGAGCCTGGAGGGCCATGAGTTTGGGGAGAACAACAGAACCATGTCTCACCTGGGGCCTAGCTATCAAAAGTGAAGCTGCCATCAGCTGGTCTCCTGTGGGGCCTTAAGGGAGGAGTACTGGAACCTGAGGAGCAAACAGAAGAATTCAGATTGTTTTTTTCAGCTTGGCTCATTCACCAAAAACCACAGGGTACTTTCCCCCCCCTCCCCCATCCCCAACCCATTCAGAAGCAACAGAGCCTGCAACTGAGAAATCCTTCTCAACAGCAGGAGGCTCATATCCCTCCAGGGGTCCATTTCTTTATGGAAAGAGTCCCAGGGACCTCCTACTTCCCTGGAGTCCCATTCTCCGTCTATTCTTGGGATGAAGACAGGGCTTTCTTTAGGCAAAATCCCTTAGCCTTCCCATGGCCCTCCTACTGATAAAAGCTTACACTGAGCTGTCCCCTAGGCCACAGTGATCCAATCTGTGCCCTGGACTGAAGGGATATGGGAGAGTTTCCCTGAGGAGAAAAAGCAGCCTTGTATGAGGCTAGTAGCCCTGGGACCTGAGTTTCTACCCTGTCCCAGTTTATACTTCCACTGTATGCTCCTTGGATCACACACCTGGGTCTTCCGGAGGAAATTCAGGCCAGCCTCTGGTCCTCGTCCTTACCCAGATGAGCATAGCAATATTCGGATCCTTGCTAGTGCAGGCTCTCTGCTGCCTCCTCAAGCCCAGTCCTAATCCCAAACCCTCCCCTCTTCGTAACTTCCTTATTCCTGCTGAGGGCACCACCATCCTCCCAGGCCCCCAGGTTCACAACCTAGGAGTCATCCTCAACTCCTTCCTATCTCTTCCCCCCAGATCCAATCTGATGCCAAGACCTGTTGATTTTCCCTCTGAAACATCTATGGCACAGCCACTGCTCTGGTGCAGGCCTTCATCACTCCACATGAGGACGACTGCCATGGCCTTCTCCTAGGTCTCTCTGCTTCAAGTCTTTCCCCACTCTAGGCCATCCTCCACTCAGCTGCGGAAGTGATTTTCCTAAAGCACATGCCACTCCCACTCTCCCTTCCCCCTACTCCACAGGTGGCTCCCCATCACCTCCAGGATCAAACCCCAAATCCTTTGTCTTGAGTTCAAAGCCCTTCACAACCTGGCCCCCTCCACCTTCTCACACCAGCAGACTGCCACCCAGTAAGACAGGCCACCTGGCTGCCCCTCCCTCCCACCACTCCATCTCCTCACTGCCGGCATTCACACAGCCTGCAATTCTCCCCCTCCTCATCTTTGTTTCCTGGCTTCCTTCAAGTCCCAGCCCAAACCTCACATTCTGCTGGAAGCCTTTTCTGAGCCCCTTGAGTGTTATTGCCTTCCCTCTATTAATTATCTCCAGTTTATCCTACATATAGCTTGCTTTGTATATACTTGTTTGCAAGTTGTCTTGTCCATTAGATTGTCAGCTCCTTGAAGGCAGTGACTGCCTTTTGCCTTTTTTCTATCCCCAGCTTCTGGCAAGGTTCCTGACACACAGTAGGTGCTGCCTGCCTGCACAAGTACCCATCTGTTCATGCCTGAAGGCCTCCTGGAGCAGTCCACTCCACTTTGGGGCAGGTAGAATTGGTGGTGAGCCAAAACGGACCCCCACAACTTACAAGTGCTCTCATTTCTGCTCTCAGGTGCCAAGCAGAACAAATCTAATACCTCCTCCAGTGACAGCCCTTCAAACACCTGACTGATCAAGGTTATAATGTCCCATTGAGGCTTTTCTTCTGCAGGTTAACCCCCTCCCCCCCAGCTCCTTCAATCAATGCTCATATGACATGGACCTAAATCCCTTCCTCCAATCCATTCTCAGCTTATTAATGTGCCCAGAAGTGAACAGAGGACCCCAGAAGTGGTCTGCTGAGGGTACAGGACAGAGGTTTTCACCTCCTCATTCCTGGCAATTATGCCTCAGTTCCCAGGGGCTATTTAGAGGTCCCATCACGCTGTTGACTTAGAGTGACCTCGTGGTCTCTGAAAAGGCCCAGAATCCTTTTCAGACAAACCGCCTGTGCTCTAACTTTAGCCTGTACTTGGGAGGCTGACTTTCAGTCTTCCAGTGTAAGATGTTACATGTTATCTTTACCTAGCATCCTCAGTCCAACATACTAATCGTCAGGACTTTATCGGATGCCGCTTCTTGTCATCCAGTGCTACTATTGGCTATCCTCTCCAGCTGTGGGTCACTGGCACCCTTAAGCAGTACTCCCCATTAAGTCTCCTGGCCCTAGCAACTAGCACAGTGCTAGTTAATGCGTTGCTTAATGTGCTAGTTGCTGGTGATCAAATTCTTCTCCAGAGCTGAATGATCCACATCGAATTTCAAGTCCCATCAAAATCCTGGTTGCTGTGTGCTCCAGCTCCCCAACTCTCTGAATGTGGCACCCAGGGCAAGAAAAACTACTCTAGATATGGTCTGTCCACAACAGAACAGACTGGGGAGTATGACCTTCCTTCTTCTGGCCACTGCTCCTCCAGCAATCTAGCCCAAGGCTGCAGGTTCCCCACCCCTGGCCTAGGCCAACCCCCTCCTTTTCTAGATGATGAAACTGGGGCTCAGAGTGGTTCAAAGATTTACCCAAGGTCCCTATGACTGGTAAATAACAGTGCTGACCTTCTGACTCCAAATTCAGCACTCTTTCCAGTATTATCATCAACAGGGGGAGTGTTATAACACCCATCCTTGGCCTTCAGTGAAAGGTGGCCACACATTTCTACTCACTCACCATTTTTGGGGGGGGGGGGGTGTGGGGATGTCCTGTAATTTCATTAGGCAACTCCCTCTACCTATGTAGATCTGCAGCTTCTAGTCTTAGAGTTGCCCGGGGCACTGAAAGGTCAAGAGACTTATCCACTGTCACAGAGCCAGGTGCTACAGGAGGGACCTGCCCTCAGGTCTTCCTGATTCCCAGGACACCTCTGTACCCACTATCGGCCACCATCTCCCTTGATCACTTGTACAACTGGTCACCAAGCTGGGGGTGGGGGCAGTCGTCACGGCTGCTTCTCTCTGTGCTACTGCCCTGTCCACATTTTGAGAGGTTGGCAGTAAGAAATGGTAACTACGAGCAATCTCAAGGTATACAAGAAGACGTGTATGAGCTAAAGCAAGTGAAATAAGCAGAACCAGGAGAACAATAATACACAGTGACCTCCCCAACGTAGATGAAAGGACCATGTCTTAGTGGCACTGAACTCTGAGCACCTGGAAAGGTCGCAGAGACCAGAGAAGGAACCATAACCCACTCCTCCTCAGGAGCTAGGCCAGGGGTCCCTAACCGGGAGAATGGCACATACACTGTCAAATGAGATCACTATGGCAGTTGGTTTTCTTTGTTACAAGATAAGGTAGGAAAGAGTATATCCAGAAAGGATCATGCTATGAAAACAGAAAGACATCAATAAGGCTTGTTTTAAAAAGAAAGAAAGAATGAGAAAGATCATGTCCAAGGGTGCGATGACCTTAGATCCAGAAGACCTGGGTCCAAGAAGAACAACACTTAGGAGAGGGAGCCAAAAGGCAGAGCTGCTCCATTTATTTTGCTGATTTTCCCAGCCAAGGAGAACGATCTTTGGGATGGTAAGGATAGAACAAAAACCTTCAATGGGGAGTTGACACCCAAGATCATTAGGGAGGGAGGGAGGGATACAATGAGAAAGTACTTAACTGCCCTAGACAAATTTGAGTCACTTGGCCCAGGGCACTGAAACCAGTTGGTGGATGTAGCTGCTAAGCCACACTGAGAAATCATGGCACATCTCCCATTCTCCACAGGATCAGAGAAGGACAAATAGCTCCATTTTGGAAAAAAAAAAAAGGGGGCAGAACAAGGTTTATAAGAAGGGAAGAACAGACTCCCCAATGGGCTTGACTTCAGTTCCTGGCAAAATTCTAGAACATATTATTAAAGGAATGCTTAGTGAACATTTGAAAAAGGAAGTGGTAATCACAAAACCAGCTTGGCTTCACAAAAACCAGGCCATGCCAGACTAGCCTTATTTTCTCTTTGAAACAAGGTACTACACTGGCAGAATTCGAGGAATGCTGTAGGTACAGGTTACCAAGATTTTAAAAAGCATCTGACAAAGTCTCTCATGCCATTATCCTGGGCAAACTGGAAATATGTGGCCTAGATGCTCTAGTAGAACTGAAACTGGGGCAATGATGGCCAAACCCAGGCAGAGATTTGCTGGTTTGGGATCAGCTCAGGAGGTCCCCAGGGGAGGACCCTAGGGATCTATGTTTGGCCCTGTGATGTTCAATGTGGTCCTCCATGACTTAAGAAAGGGCCTGAGGGGCAGCTAGGTGGTGCAGTGAATAGAGCTCTAGCCTTGAAGTCAGGAGGACCCGAGTTCAAATCCGGCCTCAGTCCAAACACTTGACACTTACTAGCTGTGTGACCCTGGGCAAGTCACTTAACCCTAACTGCCTCACCAAAAAAAGCAAAAAAAAAGGACCTGACACGCTTATCAAATTTGTAAATGACACAAAGCTGTGAGGAATAGTTAACATGCTGAATGACAGTAAGAATTCAAGATGATCTCAGCAGGCTAGGGACTAAATGATATTGTGCAAAGAATGCTGGGTTAAGTGCCAGGGAGCTGGGTTCAAATCCCAGCTTGGTGCTTACTATCAGTGAGACCCTGGCCAAGGAGCTGGATTAAATGACATCTGTCATTCCAGCTCCAAATCCTAGGAACTCTGGGCCAAGCACATTAAGATGAAATTTGAGTCTGAGTTTGTTGTTTAGTCATTTCAGTTGTGTCCGACTATTTGTGACCCCATTTGGGGTTTTCTTGGTAAAGATCCTAGAGTGGTTTGCCATTTCTTCTCCAGCTCATTTTATTTTGTCTTTTCTGCTTTTTTTTTTTTTGGCTAGGCAATGGGGTTAAGTGACTTGCCCGGGGTCACACAGCTACTAAGTGTTATATGTCTAAGGCCGGATTTGAACTCAGATCCTCCTGAATCCAGGGCCGGTGCTCCACCCACTGCGCCACCTAGCTGCCCCCAGCTCATTTTATAGATGAGGAAACTGAGGTAAACAGGGTTAAGTGACTTGCCCAGGGTCACACAGCTAGTGAGTGTCTGAGGCTGGATTTTTGAACTCAGGTCTTCCCAACTTCAGGCCCAGTGCTCTATCCACAGCGCCATCTAGCTGCCCCCTTAAAGAGCAAGTTTATAGTACAAGATGGATAAAGCTAGAGCACCTGCCCTGGAGTCAGGAGGCCCTGAGTTCAAATCTGGCCTCAGACACATAACACTCACTAGCTGTGTGACTCTGGCCAAGTCACTTAACCCCAATTGCCTCACCAAAAAGCCCCCCCCAAAAAAAAAAAAAAAAAAAGATGGATAACGCATGGTTAGACTGTAGTTCCAGGAAAAAAGATCTTGGCGGGGCAGGGGTGTTTCATGGAATTCAAGCTCCAACAGTATGAGAAGGCCACCAAAAAATAACATGGTATTGGGCTGCATTAAGGGAGTCCTAGTGCCTTAGAACAAGGGAAGTGAAAACTCTTAGTTTAGTCTCATGAGACATATTGGCTTGAGCTCTAGGCACCACATTTTAGGAGATACATTGATAAACTAGAGCCCCCAGAGCATGGCGACTGGGATGGTCAAAGAACTTGGGGATCTGAAGGTAGAATAGTATCTGGCACACATATGCCCCTCAAATGTATGTGGATGCTGTTGTCATTAATAAGATGCAAATTCAATGCAAAACACTACTGAATTCAGAAAAGCTTTTTGGTCATGTATTTTCTCAATTACCAGACATTAAGAGTACAACTACAATCACAGACACAGTGACAAAGGACCTTCGAGATCCCTTAATGTAATCTCCCTCATGTGACAAATGAAGAAACTGAGGCCAAGAGACTTACCCAAGGTCATGCAGATTGTAAGCTGCAGGACTGGGCTTTGAACCCGGACCTTCTGACTCCAAACACAGCATTAGATCACAAAGCTCCTCTAGGTGGGAGGTCGTTACACTTGCTCTAAATGTAGCATCATGTATCGTCTCTATCTGCATTGGTGTCTCCTAGCCTCCTAGTACATAGTCCCTTCCTGCAAGGAAGGAACTGTCTGAACTTTCCCTAGCACAGTTGACATTTAATAAATGTTTAGTCAGATTTAGTTACTTTGGGCCTGTGGGCTTGAAGTCATGAAAAAATCATCAAGATGTTAGGAGTAGAAGGGCCTTTAGAAAGCATCTCTTACAAATGACTTTTTTTCTTTTGGCTTTTTGGTGAGGCAATTGGGGTTAAGTGACTTGCCCAGGGTCACACAGCTAGTGAATGTCAAGTGTTTGGTCTGAGGTCAGATTTGAACTCAGGTCCTCCTGAATCCAGGGCCGGTGCTCTATCCCCTGGGCCACCTAGCTACCCCTGCAAATGACTCTTAAAAGATAAGCAAACAGGCTGAGAGTTAAGTGACTTGACTCCAGTAGTATGGCTAGAATCTCCTCCAATATCTGGGGTTCTCACTCCCTATTAACTCTTTCCTTCTTTTCCTCTCTTCCTCTTTCTTCCCTCTCTCCTTCCCTCTGACCCATTCTGGCTGTGTGATCTTGGACAAGTCCCTCAACCTCTCAGTGCCCCAGCCAGCTCTCTAAAGCTATGAGGCAAACAGCAGCTGCTGATCTGTGTGGACAGAGGATGCTTCTTCACGAGGAACACCACATGCCCCCTGAAATCACAGGGCTTTTCCAAAAGCATTTTTTTAATTGCTGAAGAGATGGCTCTCCTCTTCACCAGGGCCAACCACTCTACACGTGCCCTCAATCAGATTCCATTCCCTTCCAACTCCTGTAGATTGCCACAACTGTCATATCCTACTCTAATCTTTGTCATCTGCCCCCCACCTACCAACAAATCTCCATCTTTGAAAAGCTCTCATTAGATCCTATCATGAACGAAGATCCAAACTCTTTGAGAAAGCTATCTATATATTACATGCCTCGACTTCCTTATCTTCTCACCCACTTAACCCCCTGCAATCTGGCTTCCAATCTTATTATTCAATTGATCTTTCTCTCTCCAAAATTACCAATGATCTCCTCATTGTCAAATCGAATGCTCACCCTTGACTTCTCTGCTGCATTTGGCACTGCTGATCACCTCTCCTCCTGGATAATCTCGTCTCCTGGGTTTTCAGGACGCTATTCTCACTCCATTCTCCTTCGACCCCTACAGCTGCTCCATCTCAGTCTCTTTTAAGGATTCATCAGCCATGTCATGCTTAGTGTATGTGAATGTATTCCAAGGCTCTGTCCTGGGCCCTTCTTTCATTTTCTCTCTACACTCTCTCTGGGTGACCTAATCAGCTTCCATGGATTCAATGACTATCTATACACATAACTCCAGGACCTACATTTCCAGTCTTTGTCTGTTTCAAACTCTAGTCCTCTATCACCAATTGCCTACTGAATATTTCCACCTGGGTATTCCATAGGCATTATTCAGGCAACATGACCAAAATCAGAACTCCCTCCCCCAAACCCACACCCCTCTCAAACTTCCCTATTTTGGGGGCAGCTAGGTGGTGCAGTGGATAGAGCACCAGCTCTGAAATCTGGAAGACCTGAGTTCAAATCTGACCTCAGACACTTACTAGCTGTGTGACCTTGGGCAAGTCACTTAACCCCAATTGTCTCACTAAAAAACAAAACAAAACAAAAACAAAAACAAAACTTCCCTATTATTTTCAAGGCTACCATTCTCCTTCTCCTTCTAGTCACCCAGGTTAGTAAACTCAGTGCCATCCTCAACTCTGCACTCATCCCATACATCCAATCTTCTCCTTTCTATCTCCATGACATTTCCTCCATAGTCCTCTCCTAGGGCAACAGCCACAACCCTAGTTAAGGCCCCCAACTTCTTGTCTGGACTACTCCAATAGCCTACTAGGTCTCCCTGTTTCAATCCTCTCTGCATTCCAAACCATCCTGCCAAAGTTATTTTCCTAAAGCACAAGTTTGATCAAGTGACTCTCCCCCTTGCCCCGACAACTTCAACAAACTCCTGTCACTTTGAGGATAAAATATTAACTTCTCTGTTTAGCAAATAAATCTCTACCCAGTCTGGTTTCTTCTTTCCTTTCCAGTCTTCTCCCTTACTCCCCTTTTCCAACTCTGTGGTCTAGCCATGCTGGCCTATTGGGTGCTCTGCACATACAATCCTGTATCATCCATCTACATGCCTATAACATACTCCTTCCTCACCTCTATGTCTTCCAATCCTTTGGTTTCCTGCCTTCAAGGGCCAACTTCTTTCAAGTCCCACACCTTTCCTAGGCCCCACAGTTGCGAAATGCACCCTGTCCCCAAACTACCTGGTGTTCATTTTGTGTGTATTCTGCAGATACTCATATGTGTACATATCATTCTGCCCATTAGAATGTATGTTCCTTCAGAACAGGGATTGTTTCACTTCTGCCTCTGTATCTCCAGTGTTGAGTACCGTGCCTACTTCGTAGTCAGCATTTAATTAATGCTTGTTGATTTGATTGTTGATGGGTTTATCTCTCGTTTCTACATCACCTTCATTTCCCAAATCCCGGGAACCATCCCTTATGAAAAAGATGCAAAAAAGAAAGAGAAAAATCTTCAGCAATACCAATGAACATATCTATAGTGTTTCAGGGCATAAGCGATATGTATAGTCCCCCATGGCAATAACCTCTGGACAGAAGTATATTTTCTCTAATCTTCTCCAGGACCAAGCAACCCACATGACTGCTTGTTCTTTATGTTGGTCTCTGTGGTGGACAGAACCAGAGGAGGGGCACCCATGGTATGGTGGAAAGAAAGTTGGACTTGGAGACAGTAGGTTTGGAAGCAAATCATATCTCTGCTATTTACTACCTGTGTGACAATTGGGCAAGTCTCTCCCCTCCCAGGGTCACATACGGAAACAAAGAGGTCTCCCTACCTGTAAAATAATAGCTAATAATAAGGCCTAACACTTATTAGGCACCTACTATGTGCCAGGCACTGTGCTAAGTGTTTTTCAAATGTTGTGGCTTTAGAAAGGACAAGATTTGGCCACTGATTGGATATGTGGGCTAAGTGGACATGTGAGATTATCTCAATTGATCCTCACAACTACCCTGGGAGGTAGGTACTGTTATTACTCCCATTTTGCAGATGAGGAAACTGAGGCAGACAGAGGTGAAGTGACTTGCCCAGGGTCACACAACTAATAAGTGTCTGAGGCCGGATTTGAACTTGGGTCTGACTCCACGCCCGGCGCTCTATCCACTGAACCACTTCACAGGGAAACAAAGGTTTCCCTATTTGTAAAACAAAGGAACTGTACTAGCTGGCCTAGGTCCGGCATCCTCTAAGAGTTGAGGACCCCGCCGTCTCCCCTTTGGTCCGTTATCCTCAGACCATCCCACACTAGCACTACTCCTCTGTTTCAGGTGAGTCTTTGTCTCCTCAGAACCCAGCGCGCCCCCGGGACACCTAGCTGGAGTCGGATGAACACCTGCTTGATTGAGGCTGTTCAATGAATACAGTAACTTCCTCTAAGGCTTCCTCTGGCCTTCGGTGTCAGGCCCGAGAACCATCCGACTCCAGAAGCAGAAGCCGCCAAAGAAAACCTAGCTGTTTGTTCAACCGTCCGCCGCACTCCCTCCCCCTCCAACAATGAAACAAACAAGTAAACAAACTCCCTTTCTCTTCTTACCGGCCATCAAAACCCGGCAAAGGCGCCGAGCTCGCTACCGGAACTCAAAGGAAACTAACAAAAAACCTGACAGGAAGTATTGGCAAGACTTCCGGGGCGGAACCGCGCTCCGCGCACGGCGTGTCTTCCTCTCTAGGCTGACTCGGAGGAATGCTCGTCTCGTTTGTTCAGCTGGCGTTCGGTGCATGCGTCCTTTCCGTTGTCAATGTAAACACTGGAAACAAGGAAATTCAGATGAAAAATCATACGCATACGTATATAGACCCGGGGAGGAAGTGTGGCCTGGTGGATAGCGATTCGGCTTTGAAAGTCTTCAATACGGGCCCCATCTTTAATACACACGGGCTGGGACCCCTTGGTCCTGTCATTTCCCCACCGGCCTCAGTTTCTTCCTCTTTAAAACAAAGGCGTTGGACTTAATAGCCCCTAAGGTGCCTTCCGGCTCTAGATCTAGCATAATATTATTATTTTGTCAGTTAATCAATAAACATTTATTAAGCACCTACTATGTGCCAGGCACTGTGCTGAGCACTGGGAATACAAAAAGAAGAATGAGATGGGACCCGCCCTCAAGGAGCTTACAATCTAATGGTCCAGATAACATGAAAACAAATATACTGTATACAGTATACATACTATACAGAATGATCAGGAGACAGTTAATACAGGGAAGGCCCTGGAATTAACAGGGCTTGGGGGAGGCTTCCTACTGAAAGTGGGATTTTAGTTGGGACTTAAAGGAAGCCCGAAAGGTCAATAGTCAGTGGAGAAGGGAGAGCATTCCAGGCATGGGGCCAGAGAGAATGCTGGGAACCAAGACATGGACGGTCTTGTTCCTAGAACAGTCAGGAGGTCAGTGTCTCTGGATCACAGAGATAAAGGGGTGGGGGTCGAGGATAGAGATAAAGTGTAAGAAAACTAGAAAGGGGGGTGGGGTGGTAGAAGGCAGGTTATGAAGGGCTTTGAACTTCAAACAGAGGATTTCATATTTGATCCAGGAGGTGATAAGGAGTCACTGGAATTTATTGGGCAGGGAGTTTACTCTCCAAGGAATTACTTAAATGAAAAAATGGCAAGCATTTACATAGCATTTTTAGGGTTTACAACATGTTTTACAGATATTCTCTTGCTTTATCCTCAGAACAACCCTGGGAGGAAGGTGCTCTTATTATTCCCACTTTGCAGATGAGAAAACCAAGACTAATAGAGGTTAAGTCATTTGTCCAGGGATGCAAAGCTAGTAAGGGTCTGAGGGCAGCTTTGAACTGAAAACTTTATGGTTCCCAGTCCTGCATTCTATCCACTGTGCTGCCTAGATGCCAGTGAAACCACAAGTAGCTCCATTCTCTGTCCTATTTACAATGCTATCCTCATACCCCATATCGTGATGCCACTTCTGGCCACTAGCCCTCAATAATAGATGTGGAATTCAGTGCTTGTTAGTTGTGAGACCTGGGGCCTCTTCTGTTTGGATGGGCCTCATTTTCATCTGCTGTGGCATTAAGGTATTCTTTGGACTTAAAACAGATGGGCTTGTCAAACCCCTCTGCTTCCCCAGTGGAGTGCCCTTAGCTGCTCCTAAGCTTTTACAGGCTCCTGCAGGCTCAGGGTGCCCAAATGAATGTGCACGATCTCCCAGTCTCTCTGAATTTCTTCCTCAAGAGACCAAACCATTTTACTGTCAATTACGTGATTCCCGCATGTTCATTGTGGAAATGGACACTGTCTCTAACACAGAAAGGCATGATAAAGTTGAGAAAATTCATAAAAAAACGTAAGGAGGGGTCGGCGCATGCCTGGACCAGGTAAGCTGGCATGATCTCGGCGGAAGACGCCGGGGGAAGTGCTTCTGGGATACTGGAGGACTGGAGCATGCGTGGACTTTGCCTGTTGGCCCACCACGTGGTAGGAAGCAGCCATTTTCCATTGGCTGTGGAGCTGGAAATGTCGGAGTCTTGAAAACGGCCAGGCTGAGCCCACTCGGGGCTTTTACTGCGTTCTGCCCCGAGGGTGAAGGATGCAGATCTTGGAGCAAGGGAGGAATGACCCAAGGTCGGCCTCCTTCCCTCCTCTGCCCTCGTAGTCCACGTAGCCCCGAGAAGCAGGCCCCGAGTTTCGGCCTTTGCCCTTCTAGATACAGGAAGTGGAGTCTCCTGCCCCGGAGCGGGAACCCTGGGGACCCGGAAGTCCGGGAGGGCGGGCTGGGTGTTGTAGCCAGCCCTGCAGGGAAGCCCTGAGGAGCAGGGGTGCCAAGGAGGCTAGCCCCGGGGAGCTTTGGACTGGAGCTTGGTGGGACTGATGCTGGGAAGGAACTAATCTAAGCTGTGAGCCTAACCCCCTTGCCCTCCCCAGGACCGAGGCGGTCTAGTGGGGGGAATTATGTCCTAGACGTGTTGGAGGAAGTGTGTATGTGTTTGTTCTTGCTATAGCCTTGACATAGATATCCCTGTGTAAAAGCTCGTGGGACATCGGGGTTTACGTGGAACTGGGACGCTGGTCATAGGGCCAGTAAAAATGGGAGGATACAATCAGTGGGGGCTCAAGTAGGATCCTAGAGAACTCTGGGAGATCTAACATATACCAGGCCTTGCCCTTAGAGGGCGAGGCCAGAGGCAATCCCTGTTACAGCAGCAAACATTCCCAATACCCATGCCCCAGGCCAAATCACATCCCCGGACCCTCATCCAGCCCGTTAGAGGCCAGGCACTCAGTCCAAACCTTAGGATAATCACAAGCCTGGCCATCACCACGGGAGAAATGCACCTTCCTTGCATGAAAGTTTCTACTTGTCCCAGAAAGGCTGCAGCTTTCTGACCCAGCTACTTTGCTGCTTCCCCCAGGAGCTGGGTATCTGGGGGCCCCACCACTCCCCTTACAGATGGTACCCCTATTTATGGCAGAGGCGCCTTCCCAGGGTGGGTGGGTGGGCAGCTTGTGCCCACACTGTCCCCCAGGCCACCAGGGCTCCCCCATCTCACCTCCTAGGATCCTCAGATTCCTTCCAAGCCCAGCTCAGGCACTGCCTGCTACAAGTGACTTTTTCTGATTCTCCCAAATGTGCTTACTCTCACATTCTCGACCTTTCTTGATATTACAGGATTTATACTCAGTGTTAGGTATGTATGCTGCATCCCACTCAGTAAAACGTAAGCTCCCTGGGAACAGGGTCCCTTTCATACTTGTTTTCATATGCCTAGCACACAGTGCCTGACATATAGTAAGCACTTAATAATTGCTTGTTGAATTGCATTAAGTGGAAAAATGCATTCACATATGCAAAGCTGAAACATACCTGAGGTGTCATTTATACAGAGAGTGCTTTGCCTAAAGCAATACCATGCCCATGGTAGGTGCATGATAAACGTGAGTGCAATGGAATTGAATTCTGTAGGTCTGTGAGATGGATGAGTCCCATGATCACAGACCTAGGAGAGCCATTTCTGATGCCCATCTAAGGCTTTTCATCCCAGAAAGGGGCAACTCACCTGTTAGTTGGTGGGCAGGACAAGGTCCAAAAGGTGTTTGTGATAGGCAGGTATAGAGGGCATAGGGAGGGAGCCCGAACCCTGCAGTACCAGAGACACAGTGGCTCACTGAGGAGTAAAGGAAGCAGCGTTAGCTCAATCAGGCAGCAAGTGTGTCTTAAGCCTTTAGCACAAGAAAGAGACACTGAGGAAATGAACATAGGCTGGGAAGAAGCAGCAGGACTGTAGCCTTTTGCAGATGACATGATGGTCTACTTTGAGAACTCTGGAGAGTCAAGTAAAATCAATTCAAATAATAACTTCAGCAAAGTTGAGCAAGGGTGACAAAAGAGGAAAATGACAGATGTTGGTGAGGATGTGGACTGTTTGGGCTGTGAATTGGTCCAAACATTCTAGAAGGCAATTGGGAACTATGCTCAAAAAATTCCTCAACTGTAATCCACCCAGCTATACCACTATTAGGTCTATGCCAGAAAGAGATCAAAGAAAGAAGAAAAGCACCTATATGTACTAGAATCTAGCAGGTCTTTTTTGGGGTAGCTAAAACTTGTTAACTCAGGTGGCTCTCCCATTGGGAAATGGAGAAAGAAATTGTAGTGTATGAATGTGATGGAATATTATTGTGCCATAAGTAATGATGAAGTGGACAATTTCAGAGGAAATGGAGAAGACCTCCATGAAATGATGCTGAGTGAAGAGAGCAGAACCACAAGAATAATGTATATAATGATACAAATGTGATCAAGAAAAACTCATTTGAAAGACTTTAGAATTTTGGTAAACACCATGAAGAACCATCGATCAAAAAGAATAAAAAAGAAATGGCACCCTTACCTTCTACCAGAAACATGATGAACTTAAAATGCAAAAAGAAACTTACGTTTTAAGACATGGCTAATGTGACAATTTGTTTTGCCAGATGTAGGTGTGTTTTGATGGTTGTTTTTCTTATAATTTGCTCAGTGGGGAGAATGGGAGGAACAGATTAATAATGATAAAAAAAAACTTGTTACTTGAAAAACAAAAATAGACATATAAATATATAAATTTTTTAAAAATAAACATAAATTTTAAAATAGACATATAAATGTTTTAAAAGACCAAACTTTTCCTCTGTGCCAGGTACAGAGAAAGGGAAAAACACAATTTCTATCCTCAAAGAGTTCACAGTCTAATTAGGGAGAAAACACATAAGTAAAATGGTGTGTACAAGTTATATACTGAGTAGAGTGGAGGTCATCCTTGAGGGGAAGTGACTAGTAGTGGAGAGTATGAGACTAGGAGAGGCCTCTTGCAGAAGGTGTGCTTGAGCTGAGTATTGAAGGAAGCCAGGAAGCTAGGAAATGGGGGTGAGGAGGGAGCATTCCAGGCATGGGGATCAGGCAAGGCAAAGGGCATGGAGATGAGGGGTGGGAGGCAATGTAGGAGGAAAGGCACGAAGTGAGGAAGGGGGTGACATAGGGAGACCTATACTTCAGGAAAAACACTTTGACAGTTTGGTGGAAGTTAGATTGGAGTGGGACAGACTTTGGGCAGGGAGAGCAAC